GAGCAGCTCCTCCATCAAAACCCCCCAGAGGCCACAACTCACTTTACAAATTTGAATCGGTACATTTCATGCAGACTTGGACTATTCCTCCCAAAAACAAACAGGCCACCACAGTAAACAAAGTTACACAAAATTATATTGTATATTTAATAACACAGCTAAGTCAATTTTCTACACCTATACCACTCATATATTTCCCTAATGACAGAAACAAGAGAGAAGGGATTAAAACCCAAGTGTCCTGGGAAGCCTTTCTGACCACACTCACTCACACGATAGCAAGTGTTGTTCGGAGATGGAGAAAGGAGTCTGCTGAGCACCTCCTTGTTCTTGGAGGGCAATAAATATGGTGTCTGCAGAGGAAGGAGGAGCTGTGGACTCCTCACTCTTCCCCTAGCAGGCAAATAGGGCAAGTGGGTCTCCGCATTCATTTCACCCGCCAGGGCCCCAGGCCCCCACCCCCCTGCAAACCAAAGATGGATAAGCATTCACACTCCCCGGATGGTGAAAGCATTCAGCCGCCTGAGTGAGCCCAGGCCTCAGGCATGTAGTGCTCTCCCCGACCCCTCCACCTCAACTCGGGCCTCTAGGAAGAGAGAATGTTCCTCAGGCCCCAAGAGCCTTTCAAGGGCCACAGCTACTGTCCATCATGCTGGTGGATGAAGGCACAGCTGGGCCCTGGGCTCTGCCTCGTGGTCGTCATTCAGCACCACAGGACGCGGCTCTAGGCTAGAGACCTGAGCTCAAACAGCCACCTCTTCTGTCCCACACCACGTATGCCCTGCACCGGTCTTCCCTGAGCCTCACTTTCTCCCTCTGCTGGAGAGGGCGGAGTTTCGGGCACTTCGTTCATCACCTGGCAGCCATTACAGTTACGTGCTCATCTCACCTCACCACGGAGTAAAATCCTCACAGGAGCCGCCATCTACCAAGGGTTCCGTCAATACGTGGGGAGCGGGGAGGAGGAAGGAAGGGAAGAGATGGAAAGTCGAGGGAAGGAAGGAGTGTTTAGCAGTTCCTTATTTCCTCGCGCTTATTTGCTAAATTTATTCACTCGTTTACTGGTAAAGCTAGAGAAAAAGAGGCCAAAGAGTAAAGTAAAATAGTTTTTAAATGGCAATACAACTTATTGCACATTTTTTTTTTTAAAGATTTTTTATTTGTTTTTTAACAGAGAGAGAGAGACAGCGAGAGAGGGAACACAAGCAGGGGGAGTGGGAGAGGGAGAAGCAGGCTTCCCGCTGAGCAGGGAGCCCGACGCAGGGCTCGATCCCAGGACCCTGGGACCATGACCTGAGCCGAAGGCAGACGCTTAACGACTGAGCCACCCAGGTGCCCCTTATTGCACATTTTAAAAATTCTTTTCTGTGTTACTCCTGGAAAAGTGCTCGGAATCCAACGTGACCTCAGGAGCTTGTATGTGAGCTACACAAGCACACCTGGTCATACGCCCTTATGCCCCAGGTGAGCCTCCCACAGCTCCTCTCTCTCCCATCTCAGCCTGTCCTCCTTTCCCTCAACAAACAACTCCAGGCCGGGCCCCCTCTCCGGAAGGAGGGCTTCACCAGTAAGTCAGGAATCTTAAAAACAGGATCCCTGGTGTCAGGGCAAGAAGATGGGCAGGAGGGCACACAAGAAGTAGAGAAAAAGGTCCTTGTCTGCCACCCTCCTGGGGAGAATACTGGTTTTCCTTCTGTGGTTTCGAGCACCTCAACACCGCGCTAAGCCCAGATCTGGTATTAAATATCACCCTCCACAGCTGTTTACCAATCGAGAACTCAAGGTCACGGGAGGAAGGAAAGGCGACATTTGGACACAGGACAGAATACTGGCTTTCCCCAGTCACGAGCCCCTCAAATAAAGCCTGAGGCTTGAGGTTTCATGTTTCTTACAAGTGTCTAAGCACACACCTAAGAAAGGAAGGCAGCAAAGCCCCAGCATCATAGATAAATACAATGCAGAGCTCTGACAAATTGTTTTCAATGGAAGAAAGATTAATTAAGAAAAGGGATGTGGCAAGTCTTCTACCCGTTCAGGATCCTTCTAAAGGGATGAGGGAGCACTGAGAGACCGGGAAGTCATCGGGTTAACCAGGAACACCGGCCCCAGAGGGTAGCTGCTGCCCACCTCCCCTCACGTTGTGAGGGGTTCACAGCCACGTGCCAGTAGTGCCCACACGCACATCAATGACCGTACTCAACAGGGTAGGTGGCAGGGAGGGGAACAGAAGACAGCCAGTGAGGGCAGGAACACATGGGGCGGGATGGGGGAGGAAAGATTCCTGCTGAGGGTCCCGCATCTCAAGAAGACTGCAGACAAGCAGCGTAGCTCCAGGAGGGACAGGAGAAGCCTCCAGCCAAGCTGGAGACATGAGAGCAACTAAAGCCTCTCAACAAATGCCACCCAGGAGAGGAGAGATTCTGTTTGACATGATAAGATATCCCTTTTAGCTTTGCCAAGTATTTTCTTTTTAAGATTTTATTTATTTATTTGCCAGAGAGAGAGAAAGAGAGCAGGCACACACAAGCAGGCTCCCCGCTGAGTGAGGAGCCCAATGTGGGGCTCGATCCCAAGACCCTCGGATCATGACCCGAGCTGAAGGCAGACGCTTAAGTGACTGAGCCACTCAGGCGTCCCTGCCGAGTATTTTCTTATTATCTCAGGTTATCTTCACAATCATCTAGTGAGGTCTATAAAGGAAGCAGTATCCACATTGAAAAAATGAGGAAACAGGCTCGGAGCAGGGAACGACTTACCTGAGGCCACCCTGCTGATGGTGGCAAAGCAGAACCCCAGTCTTCCAGAACAGACCCTGAGGCCAGGAGGCAGGGTCTCCCCAGATTGGAAAAATGGAAGCATTCATTGACAGGTTCAAATTCATGGACACGGAGGGAAGAAATGGATCTAATAATGGGGTGAAACCGCCCTAGCCCAGGACATTTCAGGGTAAGAGAGAAAAAGGGGGAGAGAGCAGCAGCATCCACCCCGGCCATCTAGTAAAGCCAGGATCCCCAATGCAAACTATTTCCAAAGAGTCCACAACATCATCTGTCGAGCTGGGGAAAAGGTCATCTCAAACAACTGTGGTTCAGGAGCTGAAAAGCCAGTCGACAGTGACTGAGAGAGTCATCTTAGGGCCAAGGAAATACACCAAGAGGACAAGGAGACTCTGAAGGAGAATGAGAACAAAAGACCCAGGTTTTCACCGAAAATGAGGCACATCAAGGACTTAGCAAAGGGTCTGGCACAGGGCAAATGACTAATACACACGTATTGTGGCCACTGTAGACTAGTACTGGTACTGTCAGAAAGCTAGGTCCTTCCTCAAAGCCAGTCTGCAAGTTGTGGCCAAAACAAAACCCAGTTTACTGTGTTCTAAAATGCTTCTTAATGCCAAGGCCGACTCTGACCTCAACCTCTTTTACTGAAACTATCTTCAACAGTCGTCATGCTCTATTCTGTTACGGGGTAGCCTGACACATTCCAGAGAGGTGGCCGGAGCAAGGGATGGGGTGCTAGTTGAAGCTGGCCACGTCCTTTGGCCTAAATCTCCAGCCCTGAAGAGCTTCCCTCTACCACCGGCCCCACCCCAGCCCATCCCAGTCTCCTGAAGCCAGCAGATGTCCATTGGATAATCACCAGCCCACCTGCCACCTCCCACAGGCTGTACTGCCTTCCTTCAATCCTTACACACATCCAGCCCACAGACCCCCAAGCCTGGCCAACGGGCTTTAAAAGGGGCAGCAGTGGAAAAACACTGCAGAGGGGACCGTGTCCGATGGCTGTGTTCTCCACCGTCCGCTCCCACACACTTAGGCCTCTCTACTCCCTGCTGGTCTTTCCTTCCCTCTTTCCTAGGATTGCTAGAATGATTTGTTCTGAACAGCGACAGGTTTATAGGTTAGCCGACACCTCCGCTCTGTGGAATTTTAATTAACTTCTCCCATCGTCAATATGCTAAGGAACGGGGTCTCCATTCTCTGGGGTCAGCAATGTGTTTCAGGTCCTGCTATATCAGCCGTCAAATTGAAGAATTAATGACGTGGCTAATCGGCTCTAATTCTTTAGAAAGAAAAAAATTTTAAAGGGAGTTGTAGAAGGGGGCAGGAGGGGTGCAGGCTCCATGGGGTGAGGAGAGGGAGGCTGAAGGGGGCTGAGTTGGGGGGTGGAAATCAACTCTCTCGTAAAACTAGTGACTGACTTAAACCCCGCGTTGGAGGGTGGCAGCCCTACAGCTTGCCTACTGATCACTTAGGTGAGGAGTGAGGGATGAAAGAAGTGAGGGAAGACCCTAGAAAAACAAACACTCTGATAGAGCAGGTGCAGGAGAGCGTCTATGTACCCTGCTGGGGAGGAGAGAGGCTCTGCCTTGGTTCAAGAAAGCCTAGAAAGCAGAAATCAGGATGCAGAGCTCACTCGTTTACTGGTAAAGCTAGAGAAAAAGAGGCCAAAGAGTAAAGTAAAGCTGCCATCAAAAATTTGGCACTTCTGCTACAATTATCACTCTACGCCACATACCTGTCCCCAACTGGACATGGGCCCCACGCCTCTCCTGATGACTCAGGTCTGTAAGGGATACTCCAGAAGACATTTTCCAAAGGGGAACAAACCAGATGTGGGTTGTGAGAGCAGGCTGGCTGGTGCAGTAACTTCCCCGGGGTGCTAACAGGCCTCTGCTTTGGAAGTAACCCCAGAGGGCATAGGTTCCAGAAGGGGCACTCTTGTAACAGCTGGCGTCAGTCACATTTTAATGGTATTTTTTCCCCTCACATTTCTGGAGTAGATGCCTAGGAAGTTAACCTCTGGAATGCTGTCTCTACCCCACACATATATGAAGTGAGCCACAGACCTCAAGCCTCTGGAGGATTTTCAAAATCTCCAGAAGATAGGCTCAAAGCAACCTAGAATATACAGGGGGAAGATTTCCTAGCCCACCCAACCTCAGAAAATAAAAGCATTATTATACAGGACAAAACCATACCCCAAAACGTCTCCCTTACCTTAGTACTGGGCTGATAGCAATGGACCAGACTCTGTCTTCAGTCTGGATGGTGTGTAAGCACTGCCCCAGCCGACCTGAGGCCAAAGGCCAAACCTGGAAACAGGAGAGGAGACGCTCTCGTTGGCACTGCCTGGGACTGAGATGCGGGGTGAGTCTCCCGGGGAGGTGGGGGGGGGGGAACGAAGACTCCTTTCTGTCCTGCATATGCCGAGCTCAGAGAATGAGCAAAGGAGCCTCCCCAGCCTCTGGCTCACCCACCTGACTCCCAGTCCGAACCGCCCTCCTTAACATCCACCTGAAAGCCCTTCTTCACCACCCAATCTTGTATCAGGGAATCAGAAGCTCCACACTCTTCAGCTGAGCCTTGACTCAGCAGGGTGAGCAGGTGGAACTCACCTCTCTTAGTAACTTCCTTGTGTTTGTGGGTTTTCCTTTTTCCTATCTCTCAACCAGATTTTTCTTTGGGCGGTAGGGAGGAGGATGATCAAGGCCCAGCATGGGGGAACAAAGATGGAATTAGAGCAGAATTAAGAGAGAGCAGTAAAAAGAAAGACACAAGGGAAGGAGAGAATGGAGAAGAAGAGCGGCTTCAAAGCAAGAAGGTGGTGTGTTGTTGTTTGTTTGTTGATAGTGCCCAGGATCCAGTGCTATTCATGTCAGCAGGGAATTTAGCACCTAGTGTCACCAAAAGTAGCAGAAAAGCTTAACTCTTTTAAGCTTCCATATCTCCTACAGGTTAAAAATATTGCTTGGAGCACGTTATCTGGTCCCTATCAGTCAGGAATGTACATTAGCAGCCACTCCGGGCTTAGCTCTAATCAACACTCAGGGAGCCCTCAGTGGCCAGTGCATTTAGAAATCTCCCATTAAGCACAAGGCCCCCCTCACCTCACCCAACCCCAGATGACACACTCAGGGAAATAAGCCTCTACCCAAACAGAAAGGAAGCCTCGAATGTACAGGGCTGTCCCAGACAGTGACCAAGGAGGGATCCTGAGGCTGCCAGATGGCTCACTGACCTCTCAAGGTCCCTGCAGTGCTATAAGGGGGAACACACAAAAGCCAGTCAGGACCTTAGATGGAAGAACTTTCAGGAGACATTCCTTGAGTTTAAGGGGCAGGTGACGGAGTGGGGGTGGTCTTGCCTTCTTAGGGTCACATGACATGTCTTCCCTATAAAAGGATAAAGTGTTTTAAGATTTTGTGTATGCATGACAGGGGGAGGAGGGTGTGAGTTCCTTCCAATATAAGGAAAAGAAAATAAACTTAACAAGAAGATCCTGAACAAGGAGGGGCAGAAAACAAAGGTAAATACCACAACTTTCCTGGAGTGCCAGGATTCTGGCTTACCCTTCTGGATCTACAGCCAGGCCACTTTGCCTGTAACTAGATGCACTTCTAATGTCTTCTTTCACACAGTCCCAGCCCGGAGGAGAGGTTTGCCTTTTCTCAGATGCCAACTCTCTAGGAGGCAGGTTGGAGGGTGAGGAGACACTAAGGCCTCTGATTATAAAATCTATGGGGCCAGCTCCAGTCCTGAACTCACCAGTGCCCCCCACGGAAGGGGCTGGTGGATTCCGACACTGTGCAAACCACAGGACAAGGTGTCCGGTCTCCAGGAGGGGCTCAGGAGGCTTGCTGCCAGTGCTGAGCATGACGTTGGGGAAGTGCTGCCCTAGCAGGAACCCGAGTGTCATGACGCCTGAGGGAGGGGAGGTGACAACAACACGCTGATCACACCTTCACCCTCAGCGGTCAAATCCAAAACAAACCCATCCCTGGAAAAGATATAACTCAGTAGAGGTGGACATTTATATAGTCCTTTCAAAAAGCAGTTGACGATATGTATCAAGACTCTTAAAATGACCAAAGCCTCACACCCAGTAATTCTATTGCTGAAGATTCTACCCGAAGAGAATTCTAAAACGAAGAGAAACCTATATGGTAAAAATATTCCCAGCAGCCTATGGCTGCAGGAAGAGCAGATAGGGCAGGCGTGGGCTTTGGAGTCAGACACATGTGGGTCTGAACCCAGATGTTATTTATTATCTCTGATCTTAAGGATGTTTCAGGACTTCTTAGCCTCAGTTTCTTCATATGTACAATGGGAAATAATACCTATCTTCTGAGGGCTGCAGAAAAGTCAAGAAATGCGTAAAGCACCAAACACAGAAACCCAGCATCTGGCAGATATCCAGCATTCAATAATGGTGGGTCTTATTACTCATTAAGCCATTGAAGATGACACTTAATAATAATATGTAATAATAATAGAAAACCTTATAAAATAGATACAGTAGGGTATATTGGATATCCAAAATATATTATGAGCATAATTATGTGGGGAAACAATTCTCCTAAAGGAGAAAAGGAGAAAACGACCAATTGTAAGGTGCTTAGCATCGTGCCTGGTTACTTATATATAAACAAGCAAACCTCTGCATTGAAAAATAACTAAAAGAAGAAAAAAACAAGTTCAAATGTTCCTTCCTTCATAAAGTCTCCCCTTTCAAGCCAGATGTGATCTCTCCACCCTCTCAACTTTCTGGCCCTCTCCCTAGAGCCTTACACACTTCACAGTCCCAGCCACTTCTCATCAGCTTCAGAGCCACTGCAGGCATGTCTGAGCTCGCCTCAAGAAGAGAGGCTGGCTCTTCCTCACCTTTGAAGAGCCCCAGTGCCTTATACACCATGCCTTGCATACAGTAGGTACTTTTAAGAATAAATGGAAGAATAGAGAACTAAGGGAGACAAGGAAAGAATGGTCAGGACCAGCCCAGTCCCACTGAGAACATTCCTACATTCCTATCACATATCAGGATGGAGGGGCAATCCAAACTAAGTCACGGTAAGTTTGAAAGTGGCGGGGGGTGGGGGGGCGCGGGGAAGAAGGCTCCCTGAGCAGTCTCTAACTCAGAAGTCTTACAAAGAAAATGTTTTAGTTCCTTTCACCCCAATAAAACAAATCTCTTTCCTAAAACACAGTACGTATTTGGGGGAACTCCCAACAAACTGGCTATAGATGTGTACAGGCAAACATGACTAAGTTCTCATGTAGGTTGGGGTGTATTAGAAGCCTACAGAAGCAGCTATGGGACTGCAGATGCCACCAAAAAGAAATGGAGGGCTGGTTATACAAGACTAGCGCTGAGTAATGTAGAGACAGGTCGGGAAGATGAAGGCAGCTAGAGGCAAAGACAGCAACGGAGAGGGAGCAGCAGCAGCATCCAGAAATCTGCAAAGATGAGCTGGCCTGGAGGTCACTGGGGAGCCCCAAAACAGCAGGCCAGCTTTCTGGAGTTGAAGAACCGGGGCGGGGGTGGGGAGGGGATTCTGTCACTGACTTAAAAGAAATCCTCAAAGGAAACAGGATGAACTGCGGTGACAATTTTATAATTAGAAAGTACCTACTTTAATGCTTAAAAAAAACTGAATCCACCAAATAGGGTTGACTCGGTACTTAAAACATGAAACTAACCCAATATCCCAAATATTGGGATTACTATCCTTTTGACTACAAGCAGTCCATCCCCCTGAATTGCTACCTTTGGTCAAAAAGCTTAGTTTTATACTGCTCTGGGTGTCAGACCACAGAGAAGGGGATAGAAGAAAGGGATGTCACTGAAAAGGAGGGGCCAGGGAAGACTTGAAGCCATGACAGGAAGATGCCAGAAGGAGATGGGAATATTTTTAGGTCACACTGCCAAAAAGATTTCTATGCAAATTGTTTCTGAGGAGTACAGCAGGTTAAGGCCAGTCTGTTTGCAAGGAATGGTACAAGAACAGTGACCAGTCAGAAACCTGAAGTAAGTATAGGGTAGGGGAAACAGGAAACAGGCAATAGGAAATTTAGTTTCCAAGTTGGTTCCAAAGATTTTCTGGGCTTTTCTCAGGCTTCCTGTGCTGGTGTGCATGTCTCTGACAGAATACAAAGTGTAAGGAATAAAAGAGCAAAGGGAGGAGAAACTTCCAGAAGTAAAAAGGAACATATGTTGCCCTTCTTTTTATATAAATTGGTGGCATTTTTATATGAAGGAATAATCACCAGAGGGTACATGGAGTCAGAAAAGTTAATGAGTAAAAACTGCAACTTCCCTCTCCGGAGACCCTCCCTAGGTGTCTTAGCAGCCTATTTGCTGACACGAAGAGGCACATTTTGCTCCTGTTGGCACTATGAAGTCTCCAGATGCCGGGAAACAGGCAAGTAAGATACTATCGGGCTTCCTGCACCTCGACTGAATTGTCAGCGAAGTTCCCACAGCAGCCCCAAAGGACCAGGTGTGTGCGGGCCCTGCCCAGGGCTGCTGGACACAGGGAGGGAGAAAGACATTCTTCTCTGTCTCATGGGTGGAGGCCTGTCTGACTCAAACGTGGATGAGCAGAGTCCCTAAAGCAGGGGTCACACTACTTATCGGCCTCATTCTGTTGGCAGATGACTGACTGTAGCCCAGGCAGTTTGGCAATGACGCACCAAAACGCCTTTCCCTCCTTGTCTTTCTACTGCTTGCTGACCACATCACTCTCCAGAGAAGCAGTAAAAACACATTTTAATTATCAGCCTGATTGCTTATAAACACGGTGGTGAAAAATTAACCTCCCTAAACAGAGAGCAAGCAAAAGGAGGGAGATTTTAAAATAAAATATTGGGGTCAGAACTCAGCCCACAAACTTGAGGAAATTCAGCGCAGGGAGGAAAAGCTGGCCAGGCCCTCTGTTTTTGAGTTCACGCCACATTTCAAGTGAGTGGCAAGCTTCCCAGCCACTGTCCACTCCTTTCTCAGGCCAGCTGGCAGGGACATAGTCTGGCACCGCAAACTGCATGCCTGAGGCACATAAGTGAGTCCTTTATCGTGTCGTCCCCTCCCGCCCCCACCCAGCGCCCTCAGCCAATCCCAAGACTCAAGGCCCTATCCACCCTCTCCCACCCCACTCCCTATAGACAGGAGGGAATAACCATACGTAAGGAGGAGACCACTCACCTTAGCCGTCCTGTCCCTAGAGCCACTCACAATGATGCCCCCTCTGCAATCCACACAGTTCACCTCCTGTTCATGAGCCGAGTACTTGACAGTGAAGGTGCTATGAATCTTATGAACGCCAATCTTCCCATCTCTAGGAGAGAAATAGGGAGCCCACCCCCAATAGCCAATTATTCTCTCTGTCGGAAGAGAACAAGGCTACAGAAGCAGCCTGCGTCTCCAGTGATGTCCTGTTTTAGGCAATTCAGCTCAACAAGGCGCTGAGCTTTGAGACACCTCTACTTCTTCAGTACACTTGGGGCTGAACAGAGCTGAGAGACAAAGCAAATTTCCCCCATGAGAGTATCAAAACCAGCTTCACTTTTCATTAAAGGCTCTTCCTGTTTTCCTTCTCCAGCTAACCCTATTAAGTGCCTTTGGTAAATCTCTCTGCTTCAAATGGAAAAACAAAAACAAAAACAAAAACACTCCCTCTTCTTATGGTCTCCCTCCTCATCCCTTTGGAGTTGAGAAAGAAAAGTCAGAGGTAGGCAAGCAGAAGTTCCCTGAAGAATGCGAAGAAAGAAGTAGAAGGAGACGCCTGCAGCACTTACCCTCCTGCACTGATAATATGCGAGTTGGCCAGCACAAAGTGGCAAACGTCCTCATCATGCCCAGCAAAGACTCCCAGGGGCCGACGGTTCAAGCTGGCACCATCTGGGCGGAACTGATAGGCCAGGATGAAATTAGCCTGGGATATGTACAGAGAATCACCTTCTAGCTGCATCCAGGGCATCTGACTGCAGAGATGTAAAACACAATTTAAGAATCAACGAGATACAGCATGAAAACTGACTCCAATCTTTGGAGAGGCTGACTGATTCCCAACTTAGCAAGGATAACTTGTACGGCTCAGCCTTTACCTCCCCATTCTCCTGTAAAACTACCTACCCTTAGGCCACCCTTAGAAAACCAGAGAGACTGAGCTTTCCGGTGTGCATGTCTCTGAAAGAATACAAAGTGTAAGGAAGAAAAGAGCAAAGGAAGGAGAAACTTCTAGAAGTAAAACTTTCTGTTTTGAAAGTTCTGGACTTTATAAAAGAAAGTCAGAACTAAAACACCAATTAAATATCACTCTTAATTGGAGAATGCTTAGGACTCAAATTACTGGCAGCGTAGACTTCTTGGGGGTAGGCAGAGCTCGGCAAATTCAATGACTGAGGCACGGAGAGGGTTAAAAAAGAAACCTTCCAGGGAGCCTGGGTGGCTCAGTCCATTATCTGCCTTCCACTCAGGTCATGATCCCAGGGTCCTGGGATCGAGTCCTGCATCGGGCTCCTTGCTCATCGGGAAGCCTGCTTCTCCCTCTGCCTGCTGCTTCCCCTGCTTGTGCTCTCTAAATAAATAAATAAAATCTTAAAAAAAAAAAAAAAAAAACCTTCCACCCAGATGAAGTGATTTTCTTTCATTCTGCATCCTCCCCGATTTGAAGTTTGTTAAGTGGTAAGTTTCAAGGTTCCAAGACTCCCACACATACTTCTTACCTCTTCCTCCAACAGAGTAGATGGAAAAAAGAGAAGAGTAAGCCCCAAGAAGCCCCATTCCCTTATCCCACTATGCAAAGGGGCCATTTATAAGTGAAAGCAATAAGGCCACTTAGGAAAGGATGCTAATGTACTAGTTAGCTATCTAGATCCTCACATGGGATATCTGCATTTCTGTATTAGAGGGTAAGTGGGGCAAGGGGAAAACACAGCTCCGCAGCAGTCCACTACAGTTTGGGGGCTCCAGAGAAGTAATCAGCTCTCCTAGGCAGCTGATAAGAGAAATCCACAAATAGTCAAAGATTCCCTCTATAGTCTGGCAGGAGGAAGAAAGGTTAGAAGCCACAGGCCAGTCCCATGGCACGGAATGAGCCTTAAGAAAGAAGACTCTGCCAGGGGCGCCTGCATGGCTCAGTCAGTTAAGCGACCAACTCTTGATTTCAACTCAGGTCACGATCTCAGGGTCTTGAGATCAAGCCCGAGACAGGCTCCACTCAGCGTGGAGTCTGCTTGTCCCTCTCCCTCTGCTCCTCCTCTTGTGCTCTTTCTCTCTCTTTCTCTCTCTCTCTCTCTCACACACACACACAAATAAATAAAATCTTTTTAAAATAAGGAAAGAAAAAGGAAGGAAGGAAGGGAAGAAGGGAGGGAGGGACGCAGAGAGAAAGAGACAGAAAAAGAAGAAAAAAGAAAAGAAGAGAAAGGCAGACAGACTCTGCCAGACCCCAGGCTCTCTGGTGGGGACTAAGCCCCTTTCCCAAGGTAGACATCCCAGCAGCCTGTCCTCCTCTATGTAGGAGTTCTGGAGCTACCAGATCCCAAGCAAAGCATAGGGACAGCTGATTCATCCGCATTTACAGAGACACCATCTCCCACTGCCAAGCCTGTCTGAGCAAACTGGGCTGTGTTTCTTCCCCAGACTCCTTAATACAAGCGTCATGGGAATGTGGAAAAGTTCTGCAAATTGACTTGACGGGCCATTAAATGCAGCTTGGTCTTTGTAGAGCTGAGTTTCTGCTCAGGAGGTTTTTACAAGTGTGTGCATATATTATATAGAACATGTGTAGAGTGTGTATAGATGCCTACATTCTCACTCATTATACACTTCCCTCTTCAACATCCCCTTGCACAGGTTTGTGGCACAGTCAAGTGGGATGGTTGGAATGCATGTGTTTAGAGCCATCTGGTAAACAGCCATTTGCCTAGGACGAGAAACCAGGTTCATTCCAGGTGAACAGTGGAGAATCCTGGGGCAGCCTGGTAACTGCTTTGTGTGTTTATTTGCCAAATTGCTTTGAAAACCATCCCCAAAAAAGACGTCAGGGACAAAACCTTGATAAAGAAATAAACTGCACTTTCTGGTATTAAAAGGTAAAAGCAGGAAGCAGAGGGCAAAGTTTTTTTTACCATAAAAATCAGTCTTTCTCCCTAGTAGTTTCTTTACCACCACCAGGACCCCCACACAATTCACAGCAACCACCACCCATGAAAGCAGCAGAAACTGGACACCAGCAAGAGAGAAGGGCTCTTCAGATGAAGAAGCCTGTCTGCAGGTCAACCTGGAATGAGGAACCATAACGTTCCTTATCCATTCCAACCAATCAACAAGGAGCACTTCTTTGGTAGGGAGTCAAATGATAATTATGAAATAATGTAGCATCGGTGAAGCATACAATTTGCGGCATTAGCAATCCAAAGCCACTGTCTAAATTTCCTCACAGTTCTGAACTCTACCTCCTGTAACATCTATAGCCAAAGCTTTAGGTCCTATTTTGCCTTTTTAATAAAGTTGGGCAGAGGGCTAATGGAGTGAAGGAAGTGAAGGCGTAACTCCATAGAGTAGATTTAAAGAAAAATAACTGTAAAACAAGATGGGTTGAAATGTTGGCTTCATTTCCTTCTTTTGATGAGGTACATTAACAGTGGTTACCTCTGAGTGGTAGCATTATATGGAAGTTTTATTTCCTCTTTAAGCGCTTCTATTTTTTCAAATCTCTACAATAAACGTGTTATTTTTATAATCATAAAAATGTTGAATTTGTTAAAGTACATTTTTTGGTAATTTTTATAAATGTAAAAAAAAAAAAAAGTCCCTCCGATGCCCCCTTTGCCACACCACTCAAGAGAGGCACATATCCACTCTAGCTAGGACCAGATTTTTTACTTCCCAGCATGCTTTTCTGTCCCAGGTAGCTTTAAGAGTCAAGAGGCTACTTACCTGCATCTCCACTTCAGCAGGATCCCCTCTCGGCAGCGCCCCAACCTCCAGTTCTGAGACACCTTCACCCGTTCCTTCACAGGGACACTGGCCATCCTGTGTTCAGACAGAACAGATAACCCAGTCACAACTCATTGCCAACCAGAGAAAATTCCATAGGCTTATGAGTCAGAACTCAGGAGTATTTAGAATACGTCTAGATATAAGTGATGGGGTTAGGACACCAGAAAGGAATAACTTTCTCTCTCCACCCTAGGATAACCAAAGGAGCCAAGGACAACAGCCTGTCCATTACAGAGTCTGTAGCGATGCCAAAGCAATCTAATGGAGAAAGGGTAACAGAGAGTTGGAACCACTGGCTATCCCTAAGGAAAAACACAAACTCTGACTCCTACCTCATACCAAACAGAAAAGTTAATTCAAAATAAATTTAAACATAACATGTAAAACTATAAAGCTGATAGAAGAAAATATATCAAAATATCTCTGCAACTTGGGGGCTAAGCAAAGGTCTCTTAGGACACAAAAGGCAATAGCATAAAAGTTTAATAAATGAGACGTTACCAAAATTTTAAATTTTTGCTCACCAAAATTAATATATATACCATAGTCCGGGGGAAACTGTTCACAAAATGTATACTTGACAAATGGCTTATATCCAGAAAATATGAAGAAATTATAAATACATATGTATAATTGTATGCATATGTATATATTATACATGCATTTATATATGTATATATGTAATTTTATACCTGTAATTGTGTGTATATATATATAAACTAATATATACCACTCAATTATATGCACAAATATATACACACACACACACAATTATATACACATGTATATGAATATATATTTTTTGAAGGCCAGTAAGAACTCTGTTAAAATCTTGGTGGGAAAGCAAAATGGTACAGCCATTTTGGAAAAATGTCTGGAAGTTTATTATAAATCTAAACATATACCTACTGTATGACTTAGCAATTACCCAAGAGAAAGCATATGTCCACAAAAAGACTTGCACAAGAATGTTCATAGGAACTTTAGTCATTAACAGCCAAAAGTTGAAAACAGCCCAGGCAGCCATCAAGGAGAATGGGCATACACCCTTTGGTATATATTCATCCAATGAAATGCTACTCAGCAATAAAAAGGAAACAACTACTGATATTCACAGTAATGTGGGTGAATCTCAAAAACATCATGCTGAATGAAAGAAACATCACACATGGGGCGCCTGGGTGGCTCAGTTGGTTGAGTGGCCGCCTTCAGCTCAGGTCATGATCCCAGGGTCCTGGGATCAAGCCCCGCATCGGGCTCCCTGCTCAGGGGAGAGCCTGCTTCTCCCTCTTCCTCTGCCTGTCGCTCTGCCTACTTGTGCTCTCTCTCTTTCTCTGTCAAATAAATAAATAAATCCTTAAAAAAAAAAAAAGAAACATTACACAAGAGTTCGTGTTGTATGATTCTGTTCATGTAAAGTTTGAGAAGGAGAACTAATCTATAATGGAAGAATCAGAGCAGTGATTACCCCTGGGAATCCTATCACTGGGAAGGGGATTGACTGGGAAGGAACATGCAGAAACTTTCTGGAGCAACATTCTATATCTAAATCTTAAGGGGATTTGGGTTACACGGGTATGTATGCATTAGTCAAAAATGCATCAAATGAAAAAAAATGCACCAAATGATATACTTAAGATGTAAGCATTTCACTGTATAGAAGTTTTTCTTAAACAAAAATGCCCATAAACTAATATATACCAGTCAATTATATGCATGCATGCTGAAGTGTTTACAGGTGAAGTGTACTGATATCTACAACTCACTTTGAAATGCATGATAAAGCAAATACAGTGAAATGTTAACTATAGAATCTAGGTTGTGGGCATATGAGTGTTCATGGTACATTTCATTCAACTTTTCTGTTTTGAATTTTTCGATTAAGAAAATGTTGGGAGTGTCAATAGTACTTTCTGGGTGAGGAAAGTTAGACCAGTAAGAGAGAAGGGAGTGCACCAGCAACAGGAATGGCATAGTTTGTGATTGGGTTGGAGTGGTAGGGAACAGGGAGAAGAGCACAAAGCCCCTCTGAAAATGCACCTTTGGACAGAATTTTGAAATTATGGGCAAGAATTTGAAAACTTCACCTTAAGTCCCATAGCTCCCCTATGTTTCCCTGGCCTGCTCCATTGGACAATAAAGGTACACTGCTTGGGACACAGTAATAACTACCAGGTCTGTTGAGAAAAGAAGAGACAGACATGCATTTCTTCCAGTCTCTGCTATACCTTCACATTTACTACCCTTTGCTAAAAGGCAGCAATCAAGTCCTGCTTTCAAGATTACAACAGATACAGGTTAGAAAGGATGGTTTTAGGGGCGCCTGGGTGGCTCAGTCGGTTAAGTGTCTGCCTTCGGCTCAGGTCATGATCTCAGGGTTGTGGGATCGAGCCCTGCGTCAGGCTCTGTGTTCAGTGGGCAGTCTGCTTGAAGATTCTCTCCCTCTGCCCTTCCCTCCACTCACTCTCTCTCTCTCTCTCTCTCAAATAAATAAATAAAAATCTTTTTTAAAAAGTTTCCTTCCTAGGGCACCTGGGTGGCTCAGTTGGTTAAGCAGCTGCCTTCAGCTTGGGTCATGGTTCCAGGGTCCTGGGATCGAGCCCCGTACTGGACTCCCTGCTTGGTGGGAAGCCTGCTTCTCCCTCTCCCACTCCCCCTGCTTGTGTTCTTTCTCTGTCTCTCTCTCTCTGTCAGTTAAATAAATAAATAAAATCTTTATTAAAAAAAAGTTTCCTTCCTGCTGTTTAAATGCGTACAGTATTTTTTCTAATTATGGGTAAGACTGAATATCTGGTCATATGTGTGAAAGCCATTAGCATTTCTTCTGGGAAATGCTTGTTCATACCCTTTGTCCCTGTTCCTATGAGGACTCTGGTCTTTTTCTTGTGAGTTTGTAAAGCCTCTTTATATAATCTGTATTGTCAATTTTGTTCCAATTTATTATTCTTTTTATAGCATTTTATCCAAGTGGACACTTAAAAAATTTTTACATATCCATGACTTCATGTCAATCTTCTGAAACACTTTAAAGAGAGTGAATGTTCAGGAAGGGGTTTCTTATTTTAATTTTCTGGCTAGAAGATCAACCCAAAATAGATTTTTTTTTTTTTTAAGTAGGCTCCATGCCCAATGTGGGGCTTGAACTCACGACCCTGAGATCAAGGATCACATGTTCTACTGACAGCCAGCCAGGCGCCCCCAAAATACATTTTTATTTCAATTTTACTATGGAAAATCTTTCGACATAGTGAGTAGAGTTTAGTTAACCCAACTGAATACTATTTTTAAAATGATGTAGAATGTTTTAATCTCTCTGGATCATAATTCCAAAGATACTTTATTTAACATTTAATATGGTGTTTATGATGTGCCAGGAACTGTTTTCCATTTACCCAATGCCTATGCATATTAAGTATCAATGGGTTTGTTGATAGTGCAATTACACTTCCTGTATTTTATCCAATTAGAAGACCTTGGAAATAAGCGATAAGCAAACTAGCTGATACTTCAATTTAAAAAGAGAAAGCCAGAAATGACCCAAACTGATATGAACTTAATATATAACAAACAAAGTAAAATTTTAAAGTAAGGAAAGAAATCACTATTCCATTAGTGTTGTTGGGTTTATGTAGCATGTTCCAAGTTTATGAGGAAGAAGGGAGGGAAGAGGAATATACATGCCTAGAAAAACATGGGAAGTAAATACTTTAAAATAGTAAACTGGGTCCCACCCCCACCCCCCCACTTATTGGGGACGCTATAGGACAGTGAAGGAATGGTCAGACCAATGCAATATTTACAAAATGAACAATTCAAAATAAAAAAACAAAACAGTTAACTGTGGATCGCCAACTTGATGTGTTTTTATTTTCTTTGTGTTTTTATGTATTTCCCAATTTCTCTACACTGTAATATTTTGGTGAAGAGGAAAATACTTATTAAAATAATAAATTATTATCAATGCTGGTGACAAAACTGGGTATCAATGGAGAAAAAAACTGATTTAGATGGTATCTCATAACCCAATATAATAAATTCCCCCAAAATGAAAGTGAATTTAAAATATTTTTTTGACTAGAAGATTTTAAAGTGTTTCAATTTTAAATGCTGCACAGAAGAAAAAAGAGATTAAAATGAAAACAGAGTAAACAGCAGGGGAAAATTAGCAATACTATAGGTACAAGTTTTATCTCTAAAACTTTTAAGGGACTGATAGAAATCTACCAGAATAACACCCTCTCTCCAATACCCTGTCATCTACAACCAACAGCAGATAAGAACAGTCACACACTGTCTACATGACGAAACACTGGGGAAACATCCCACAACATTAATACAGACATGCATATTAAAACAATTATTAAAGTGCCACCTCACATCTATTACTAGGTGGAAAAAACAGAAATTGTCTTTGGTTTGATAGAAAGGTTTGTGTTTGGTTATATATTGCAGGTAGCACACTGGTACAGCCTTTCAGGAAGGAATTCTGTCGAGAATTGTTATATGACAGCTTCTGACCCAGCATTCCCATTTTCGGCACTAAATCACAAAGAAATAATTCAAAAGAAAAATATATTTTTTACAAAGATATTTATAGTTGCGGCGATATATTTGAGCTAAAACCTGGAAATAGCCCAAATGTTTGTCTGTGGGGGAGAACAGTATACGCATGCAATGTAATACACTGCCGCTAGAAATGACAAATGTGGGAACTGCCAAACATTTTGGAAATGACCACAGCAAGCAATGGTAATTAAAATGAAATCAAATTTATAAAGGTAGAAGTGAAGAGATGCTCCATAAAATTACATCTCCGTAAACACGTCAGAAGAAGTAAATAGATGGTGATTTGGAAGTGAGTTTATAGATCTTACATATTTCTACATATCTCTCTCACAATTGTTGATAGGTCTCTCGATTTACCTTTAACTAAATAGTAAATTCAATGAAGTTGTGGGAAAAGCCCAGAATGCACACTTAGGAAACTGGGATCTGAATCCCAGTTCTGCGTCTAACTAATTATAAAATTCTGG